AACAAGGTGCTTGTCATCGGCCTCAAAGTTGCTTTGCATGCGTCCGAGCAGCAAAAAAGAAAAAGGAAAGGAAGGTTGTTCGCGAATGCAATCAAGTAGAAGGCACCAGTTCTCCCATTTTTATATGCACAGCACATTTCATGGGGCGCACGAGTAAGAGATTAGCGCTCGTGAATCGGCTTGACAAGGCAACAGAGCTGAGAAATCAAAGTGCAGAAGGGGTGGTGCACCCTTGAGGTGCAAAACTAGCGATGATGCAACCCGAAGTGACATTTGGAGCAGTAAGGAAAAGGTTGATCACAAACATCCCCGCAAAAGAAAAAAGCGAACTTGTGTGGCAAAGTGAGGGCTTGTGAGAGGTGGCAAACTGCCGGGCGAAAGAAAGGAGGATAGGTCATCGGCCAGTTAAATAAAAGGCGTTTGTGGCATACAGTGAGGCACAAGTGGTGAAGTGAATGCGCAAGTGGTGAACCACAACACGCATTCTCGTGACGGAATGTATGGTGAAGATTAATGTCAAGCAAACACAAGATTGTCGAAGTGGTCCTAAAATAAAGGCAACAGTACCTAAGCACTGCGCCACAGCAAGCACAAAAATGGCATGGCCACTCTTTTCCCCATATTCCTGGCATCGCCTCATAAAACCCGGCCTGATTCGCAGATAAGGAATAACTTCGCAATTCAGCTGGTAGTGCATGTTTGTGGTAATCCACAAAAACCATGACTGTCGCGTGTACGATTGAGAAATGGGGGACAGTTGTAAGCTTTTGTGGGGAAGACAACACAAAAATTCCTCGAAAGGATTTTTCTTTTTAAATAACATTCGTATGTTACCTCCACAGCTAGTTTGTCTAGGCACGCAGTTCTTCACTTTTGCTTTTCTTACAGCTGTTCAAGTTGTTTCTTCGTTAAGCGTTGTACGAAAGCAGTGGTCGTATCAGAACAAGCTATCTAGGAAATGTGTTTTCTTTGGTGTGAGAGCACATTGGTCATAAATGAGGATTTGTATGGCCAATAATTTTGAAAGCATGGTAGTGCTTGTCGAGCGTGCAGCACGAAGCAGTATACCGTCTTAAGGGAGTAAATGAGCATATCCAAGAAAAGTTTTGCAGTAAAATAAAGGATTTTTTTGGAATGTTCATGTTTGAGAAGCATTTAATATGGGGTTCTCGAGGTTTTTAGCACAAAAACCAACACAGATTTTATCACGTGCTTCTAATGTGTACGGAATCAAGTAATATTTTCTTTGCGTGTTGGTTTTCGTGAACATTCAAGTTGAGACGCATGTCTGGATGAGCTTAGGTTCTTTGAATATAATATACAGTTGAGTGGTGAGTTAATATTTCAGCACTCTACGAATGTGAGTTGTGCAGAACTGAAGCGCACAGGAGAGCCCGGTTTGTTTTTAATCAGAGAGACTGAAATGAGAATGTTACATTAAGCAAATGACTTTGCTTGTACGTGAAGTGCGTTTTCTTTACTTCATTTTTATTGATTGAGCATTGATCACATCATCACTTGGTCTGAGCATTAGCGCTTTACCAAACAATGAGGTTAGGGATACATCGAGATAGCGTCTCCTCTGAGGTTAATGACAGGTGTGAGTGTACTTACAAGCAATCTTGAAACAGTTGAGCAAATAACTTACCTACATCAATTTAGCAACCGTGATCTGCTCCAATTAGCCACTAATATTCTGTTACCACTAATATTCTGTTATTCGGACAAGTACAAAAAAAAAATTATAACTACAGCAAGGGTGACAATACTAATGCCAAACTATAACTTTTTTCAATAATTAGGGTTCGTGCAGGTTTCAAAGGAAATAATTCAAAGACATTTAGAGATTTAAAAAGCTTGTCGAGTTTTTTAAGCAGTAAAAAATACAGCATTGAAATGATGATTCAACTTTTGCACAATAACAATGTTCCAAATTCTGACTAAATTTATCACAATCATACACATACAGTTGAAACATAATTCAACAAAGTCACGACCATGTTCAAGCTACTTTATTAAATTGAGAGATTTGCGAAATCTAGAAAGGGGGTTTTTTCGTGCCTTGGAACCTAAAATTGTTACACAGAGACACCTAAAATCTGCCATAGCATCGTTTTCCCCAGCAAACCGTGTGTGCTCGTGCAAAGTCCCTTCAGTTGTACCGAACATTCAGCCTCGTGTATTTGGTCCAGGCGATAAAGTCAGTCATGTGAAATGTGACATACAGCCGTAATGTAAAGGCGGGGAGAACAACTGCAGTAATTATGCGAGCAAGGCAAGCAAAGAACAGGCGACGAGATGATCAACTCATGTCACATAAGTAATGAAATAAAGAGTGCTTGTGTGGGAGGATTGACAGGAACAATAAACTACTAATGGCGCCATCTGGTACGTAAGGGTGCAACTGTTGTCCACTGCTCCATGCATGTGGGTGGCCTTGTCAAAATAAAGCCAAGCTCGTGAATATGCGAGACAGATGTTTTAACGCAATAGCACATTTCATGCATTTTTCATAACATTTTTAATACACCTTTCTGTACAGAAGATTCACTCCACCATACCCGAGGTTCCCAACTTTAACCATCAGTATACGGCATCTATCGAAATTTCTATCGAAGGCATTGTGGCCCTTACAAACTAAGTTAATTATCTGATTCTTGTTCAAAGAACAAAAGTCGATTGTGTAAAAAACAAAAAAATAGCACTTCTTTTTACTTATTTCAGAAAAAAGGACGGAGCGGGATGCTACACGGACCCCAAAATTCAAGAGATTTCAAGGACAGAATACAATTCCAGGATCTTCAAGGGCTTGGAAAGTGTACATTTCAATTTCAATGGTTTTCAATACTAATCATGGGTTAAAGATGGGTTTATAATCTGAAACACAGCTTTGAAAATTCACAACTACCTTGCATTTTGACATGAACTGTAACATGGCATCTTCGTCTACTTTTCTAAGGTGTTTGATCGTGTAGCCCACTGCCCCCTAGCTTCACAAATAACTGCTCTAAAATTATACACACAGACAATGACTTGGCTCCGAACTTTCTTTCAGATTACCAGCAGCTTTTCTCTCCTCTATCCTACATTCACTCTGGCATACCATAAAGTAGTGTTCTTAGGTAGCTACTATTTTTAACGACTTACCTAATAACCTAGCTTTTTGCATGCAATTATTCACTGCATTATACACCACACTGTACATGGATTTAGTGACTATCACATTCTGCAAAACGATCGTGAACTTATCTGAAATCGGCGTAGCACTTCGTTGACCACACTAAATTCATTTAGATGCAGAATAATCTCTTTTCCTTGTAAATACTGGGTCTCTAATTTGTATTCTGACATATTTAACAACCCAATATTTTCAGCCACACCATAGAAGTACTCGGGAATTATTCTCTCATCAAACGTTTATTTAGAACTTAAAACTTTACTACTATGTGCAAACACTTCGAATTCGCTTGGGTCTTTTTGACAAACCCTGTGAGAATCCCCCTCCAACATTGGCAAGCTAGCTTGCCAATGTTGTTCGTTCACTCATGGTTCAAATGTGCCTCTAATATAATCACCCCACCACGACAACCTAATGAATTTATTAAAATGAGTAAGAAATTGGGATGGTTAGTTTACCTTGCATAACTATACTTAGGAATCGACCACACCACGAATAAAACTTGATATCTCGCTTCCTTTCTGTGGTATTTGCCATGACTTTGCTTCACAAATACGGACAAAATCTCCCTCCAGTTTTACCTTGCACAACAACCTCAGTTTTAAACAGACGTGCCTTCTATTCATTGGCGCTTCCACATGCCACTCGGCTGCGGAATGTTCTTCCCACTTTTATTGTCCTGGAAAAAAATTGCGACAAATTTTGCCAACTCATCAGTTCACATTCCACAGCATAATATAACCTATACAATATGCATATCGCCTTTTTTTTTTTTTTTCAGTATGCATGCTTTAGTTAGCCATTTGGTTTATGAGTTATTTATTTTTACTCATTCTTGTGTGCCGAAACATTTAACTTCGTGCAGGGGCACAGAATGTACCTCTTGACTCCTCCTCTAAATTTTACAAAACATTAAACTACTTCCTTCGTCATTTTTTTGCCTCTACAATTATTGGTCAATATACTAACTAGTTCATGATGCTGCGTGTATACTTTCGGCCATTCAATCCTGTATGACACGCGTTTATCACGCAAGATCATGTGTTATTGAGATGACCCAATGCCTCTGAAGAGGCCTGTTAGGTCTTTTTAAGTAAACAAACTGGATGTCTGGACAACATATAAACGAATAACAATTTGATTCCACTGTTAGGCTTTGTCATGTCGACTCTCACACTTCCTTCAAGGTGTTTATTAAACAGAGTCAATTTCGTTTGACAAATTTTACACCACTCTTGCATTATTTCTAGACCGACTGCATATTTCTACCCACTTTCGCACTGACGTATGTCACGGCTATCGTTAATTGGTTGCGCTGCACACAGCTTGTGCACTGCCGACTCGGCTGTACTTATGTTCTCAATCATCGTCGTAGCTGGACTGTTCTCATTTCACCAAGCTCGCTTGGCAAGCGTGAAACATTGAGTGTGATTGCACGCGATCAGTTTTTCTAGAAGATGGTAGGCCGCTTAATCTAACCACGACACTGCAGACCCATTCATTGACACTAGAGGATTCAATGTGCGGAAGCTCGCACACGCGAATTCTCAGGTCATCAGACGCTTTTTTTTTTTCGGGGAGTAACCACTGTTCAGCACAGAGTCACCAGTTCTAATAACCATTGATCACGTAGGTTTCTTATCGTACTGCCGTCCCGTGGATGGATGGACCCACCGCTCGTTTTTCGGATGTCACGGCTTCGCACCGGTAATCGACTGCCCATCACGTGCAGTACGACGAATGTAGCATTTCAGGCTCCCCTAGCAAGGCGCTACGTTTCTTTTCCAGTACAACACATGGCCGTGCCTCGACGGCAACCCACCTGACCGGCGCGCCTGAAGAACATGGCCACAGAGGACGGCTGTCCGGCGTCGCCCCCTTCCATCATCATCGTCTGGGGGGACCGCACAGGCAGCAGCGATTCAATACTGTTTGGTGCTGCGTTGTCGTAACCCCGCTGCAGAGCCTGCGAAATACCACAGCACGGTCGATCGCCCCGTTATTCAACCCATACGCCACGTAGCGAACTCAGCCGCAGCGGCACAACCTTCCGTTCATTAACTGCTGCTGCTCCACGCCTCGACTGAGCCCAAATCGACATCAACAACTACGGCCTCTTCACTGTTGCATTCCAAAAAAAGCCTATTTGCACAATGTTACTTTTTATTTTGGAAAGTAATAAATTTGATTTGGTCACATTGCCTTATTTCTACTAACTATTACTTTTTGTGAGGCTACAATTAGACTTCGAATAATAAAATCTGGCAACAACACAATGCATTGAAGCAAGTTTGGAACGAAGTCAATCCAGCAAGAAAAAATTGCGCATGTTTTGCTTCAGTTTCTGTTCGTCGAGTCCTTCGGTGTCTTCGGTTAGAGAGTGCGTCGGAATGACTTCGCCGAGGTACCTCCTAAGGTTCGCTTACCTCGGCACCAGATACAGGCAAGTGGATCTCAACATGATTGTTTTTGCGTCGTGGTGGCGCAGCTAGTGGTTACAGTGCTTGGCTGCTGACCCGAAGGTAGCGGGTTCGACCCCGACCGCGGCAGTTGCATTTTGATGGGGTTGAAATGTTGAGGCCCGTGTGCTGTGCAATGTCAGTGCACGTTAAAAACACCTGACTGTCGACGTTTCCAGAGCCCTTTACTAGGGCGTCTCTCGTAATCGTATCTTGGTTTTGGGACGTATGTTCGTTTGCGTCTGGGCCCGAACGTGTACCAATCTTAAGTGCAGAGCACTTTAGTGACCCGGCTTGTCGTACATCCATTGAATCACGCTCGCAGTAAAGTGCTTTTATTACATGCAATCACAAGCAATGCTCAAAACTGGGTTCAAATGAAAGGTCAAGGTCTCAAAAATAGTGTATTTAACAGAAATAACGAAAAACCAATCCCAGTGCTTGCCTAAAAGTTGTTAAAAACGTTTCAGCAACGTGAGATTGACTCCGAGACCGCGTAAGTATCTCTATCTACGCCGTCTCACTAGGGTGGCTAGAATGGGGAAGTGTGAAAAGCGAGCCGTGTTTCCCTTGCCGAGCGGCGCCGCGGTGCGCGAGATCTTCGCTAGGTCGTGATTTAGCGTGGTCATCGGAGGCACTAGTAGCCGCTGCTGCTAGCGCGGCTACTAGCGCGGCGGAGACGGCTGCAGGTGCAGTGTATGCCGGGGGAGGCTGCTGGTCACTCGCGGCAAGTGCTTCTCAGCATCGCTTGTGTTCCACGTGGTGCGACAACTTTGTTGTGTTTTCCCTTAAAAGACTAAATGGCTCCCACAAAAAAGAAGAAAAAAAAAACGCTGCGGACTTTTTTTTTTTCGTGGGTGCAACGCGGGATACAGATCGTGCGCTGAAAATTTTCCCTTTTTTTGTGCGCTCTGGCATGCAAAGACAGGTTAGCAAAAAGAGAGCGCACCATCGCAAGGACGGACAAAGCGCTCCAGGAAAATACCGCCATCAGCGAAAAACATTTCGATGCATGGTAAATCTATTGAACTTAAGGTCAGAAAAGACGTGTGCATGTGTGCAAGGCATCGGCAAGTGAAGATATTGAACACTTTGTGGCGCTCTTAACACCTCGGCCATTGCTTTTCGATAAATACATTTATTTACCTGAAATGTATGTCTTCTCACTTGAATTTAGATTAGAAGGCGCAGTTCGATGTTATAGAAAATAAAACTGTTTTGGTTTTACCAAGCATATAAAGAGCGGTGCTGTCGGAATGACGCTCCGTCGAAAACTTCGCTCTAATAGAATGTTCGTTCAGCGAAAGATGCGTGTATTCATATTAGGTGAAATCGCAGTTTTATATTTACTTCGAAAAAACTCTTGTACTGGCGAAAAACTCAAAACGACCATCGCGAGTACATTGCAACGGAGAAAACTAGCAGTGCCTCCGACTACAGCGCCACCGCTGCAAGCTCGCGAGCGGGAGCCTCCTTGGAGAGGCCGGTTTACACCTCCCAATTCTAGCCATCCTAGTCTCACTCTGACCGTGCCGTCAAGGATGGATGGATGGATGTATCTGGCTACAGTGTAATCTGGCCACGGCCACTGGATAAAAGAGCGCACGGGTACGGCCCGCCGCGTGCTTCAAAACCCATAGAGTTTCCCAATGTACATTAGAGAGAACTCTGGCGCTAGTGTCTATGGGAGCTGCAATGCACGGCGCTTCAGCAAGCATGGGAATGATGGGTAGTTACAGTGTACTAGAAGGGGGCAGTGGGCACTCTCCGGCAGAGGGTATGCAGTGGGGTGGCTCCAGAAATGTTTCACGTTTGTGGTTTTCTGGTCGCACGAGTGGTGGCGCTTTCATCGCCATCAATGGAAGAATTTTGGGAGGGACGTTGCAGCTGAGGCGGTTGTGAGCCTGTTAAGTCCTGCAGAGCAACAGAGTTTGAGCCACGTTGTGTAGCTGTGGACATTGTTGCGCCGAGTTTTCGCCATAAGCTTTCAGTGTTACGCACCACGCAAGATGACAGTATACTTTACAGTGCATACTGTAGCCATGCCGCGACAACGGCAAAACCTCTGTTAGGCGCTTGGGTGTCTAACAGGAAACGTGTTCGTGAAGAGTAAGCAGGACCTGTCATTGTTTGGCGTCCTGAAGATGAAAACAGGCCGAAAGAATGCGAGAAGAACCAGCACAGAGCGGACAAGCTTCTGGAAGACACCATCGCTGTTTGCGAACTCCACTTGCAACCGCGTCTGTGCATGTTATTGATGAAAAAAAAGTGCGCATACCTCACCCATTATCCACGCCGAGGCTGTTTTCAACTTGTTCGGCTGACCAACTTTTGTGACCGAGGAGGCCTCCTTCATCCCTCAAGTCAGCTGTACAGCTTCATGAAAAAGCTCGAGGATATTTTCACAGAATGTTTTTGCCAGAGTAAGCTGCACTCTGACAGCATTATGGACATACTGGCAATTGTTCAGCGCAGACTCTCGATTGAAGTTGGTTGCAGTGTGCATGCAGCTATCCTCAAAGCAAAAGTAATTACTTTTACGTTGTCACACGTCTTCATTCAGTTTGAAAGGACTGAACACTGACAATTAGGCAGGGAAGCGGCAGAGGGCCAAGCAGCTGAAGATGAGCCGTCACACATGAAGTGAATAAGGTGTGTAAATCAATGGCTAGATGGTGTACTTCAGTTCTTGCAAATAAGAGCTTCATGTCAGGAGCAGAAGCTTCGTGTGTATCGTTATTTAGTTTTTCACTATGTCGCTCTACATATGTCTAACATACGTGTGTCTGCATAATTATGATTATTAATAACCCCCAGAAAACTGTTGTGCCATGGTCTACAACTGAAGCAGAACAAAAATTATTTAAGCACTACAATTTCACTTTATAATAAAGGCGCAAACCCAGCCGGCACACCTGCATGTTAAAGCTTTTCTAGGAAGTGAACGTGCACTGTTTTCTAATTATGTCGTAAAAGGGCGGGCATAATCTTGTTGCGAATTCTTTTTAGGTTCGGTCTACACAGCACGAACCATACGTTTGGTCACTGTATCAAACCATATAATTTGTGGGATACATCATCCTTTTCGACTAGGTGTTATATTCGAGGAAACACGATGTGGCCTGAACAAATATAGTGCTTATCAGGAATATTCTACTAACTCAAGCACACACCCTCCGAAACCCACACACACACAAAAAGCGTTAGCTGCGTCGCACTAAAAAGGAGAATGCACCGGCTGCCGTCGGACTAATTTTGGGGAAGCTGTATCCCAAAAGATAAGGAAAACACTGTGAAGCGAGAGCACCAGAAGCACATAATATAATCAGAGGGCAGTCAAATCATGCAAGTTTATTACAAATATCTAATAAATGCACGTTCCAACTTTTACAAGCGACCATCGGTGAGCAGCTTCTGCAGGTGAAGCTTTCATTGAAGATGCCTGTGGCGCCATCTCTGTTATGTGACGCCAAAAGCGTCAGAGTAGCTGTGGAGTAAGCCCACTGCCCTCTTCTAGTACACTGCAGGGTAGTACACACATTTGTCTAAACTTCGTACTTCTGGCCTGCTTTTGGCTCCGTGTGTGTTCGTGTGGCTTGAAACTGTTTTCTCACGAAACAAAAATCGGTAAATGTTCAGCGATTGCATTTCACAACCTTATTTTTTTAGGCTTACCATTTTCAATCACGTCACTAAGTTCTACAGTGTTCGTTTTTTCTTTCAAAACAAAACCGTAACTAGCAATAAACGAAGCCACAAGTATGATTCGCCGCCCGCAAGTACGAAGACTAGGCAAATGTGTGTACTACCCATCATTCCCGTGGTCGCTGAAGGATGGATGGATGTGGCTGTACCCTTTAGATCGGGCGGCGACTAACGCCACCTAGCCGAAATACTTAGTGAACTAACCATTAGATTTATCTTTTTTTTTCCTTTTAATAGTGAGGTTGAGGATTCGTACTTTGCAGTAAAGGGTTTAATTTTCACTTGTGCCTTAACTTTAGCCACCAATCAGATAACCTTCTTCTAGTTAAGTCTACCCGCTTAAAGTCTAATTGCCCTCCCTTTCCCTAAACCCCAGTGCTTTGAAAAACTCTGCGCCATCATCCTGAACTATAGGGTGAAGCCCTTTACAGAACATTATCAAGTGTTCGGCAGTTTCTTCTTCCTCTCCACACGCACTGCATATCATGTCTACCCCTTCGTATTTGGCTCGATATGTCTTGGTTTGCAATACTCCCGTCCTGGCCTCAAACAGTAGAGAACTACCCCGAGTATTATCATAGATCCTTTCCTTGGCAATTTCCTGCTAAAAAGTCCAATGGATCTCTAGTGCGGACTTCTTAATAATGCCGTTTCTCCACATGTCAGTCTCCGTTTCCTTCACTTTCTTCTTAACCGATAGTTCTTTTTGGTTTGGCCACCTGCTAAGTATTTACCAGTCAGTTTGCTTCCTCCATTTCATATCGACATTCTTCATGTACATGGATGGATGGATAGATATGGCTGTACCCTTTAGATCGGGCGGTGGCTAGCGCCACCAAGCCGTAATACCTAATGAACCAAAAACTATATTAATTTTTTTTTGCCTTAAATAGTGAGGTTGATTCGTACTTTGCAGTGAAGGGTTTAATTTTCACTCGTGCCTTGACTTTAGCCACCAATCAGATAACCTCCTTCTAGTTAATTCTACCCGCTTAAAGTCTATTTTTCCCTCGCTGTCCCTAAACCCCAGTGCTTTGAAAAACTCGGCGCCGTCATCCTGAACTATAGGGTGAAGCCCTTTACAGAACATTATCAAGTGTTCCGCAGTTTCTTCTTCCTCTCCACACGCTCTGCATACCGTGTCTACCCCTTCGTATTTGGCCCGATATGTCTTGGTTCGCAGTACTCCCGTCCTGGCCTCAAACAGTAGAGAACTACCCCGAGTATTATCATAGATCCTTTCCTTGACAATTTCCTGCTTAAAAGTTCGATAGATCTC